TTTAGGGTTTTGCAGCCACTCTTGTGCCCCCCCTTCTGGCTTAGCTTCTCGCTCTCCGTTCTGGACGCTTACATGTCATCTCCTCCAGTAGGTCTTCTCTGATAAGCCAAATCAAAATAAGGCCCCCTCCACCTCTTACTTTTTCCACTACGTCCCACGTCTTCATTGAACCCATCCACCGACGGTGTAACTACACTACACACTTTGCTTTCCTTTGGATTCTCCTCTCCCATCTTGGATCTGTAAGTGCCATACACAGGTAGAGCAACCATGCTGTATCTTTGTTTGCCTTTTTATTAGCCACCCATGCATATAACACGTCAGAGGTACGTCTTATAATAGACCTTTTAGATGGAATATTAGGAGAAAGAATAAGTGACTTGACCTGAATCTAGCACCAGTCCCCAAATTTCCACCGTAAATGTGCGGTCTTCTCTGTTTGAATTTTTTTTTTTAATCTGAAGATACTTATTTAATTAAGATCTTAAGCCTCACCCCTGACTCAAATGGGATGGATAAGGGAGTAAGGGAAGAGGTTAACAGGAGGGCAGAAAACAAAGCCCCGGCTCTTCCATAAGCCACCACTAGCCAAGGTCCCTCGAATTCCTGGAGGGAACCCAGGGCTTGGAGGCTGGGCTGCAGGAAGCAGCAATTCTGGGAGTTTCAGTCTGGACAGGGGTACAGAGCTGTGCCATGTTGTGGGGCGGCGGGGTAAAGGGAAAGGCTCCACAGAGCATACTTTCCGTTCACATCTTCAACTATTCCTCCATCTTCCACTCTGCACGTTCATCTCACCATTCCTGACCCAGCAGCCCCAGTTAATCACTGAGTACCCTGCTGCCTGCTGCTGGTCCTCTCCTCCCAACCCAACTCTGCCCACTGCATCTACTCCCTCCTCCAGCCCACCCGCACACTCACTCATCACCCTTTTCCTACACCAATGACTTGCACCCAAAAGAACACTGTACCTGGGAACCCGCTTGGTCACATCAGATGTTAACTAACAACAGCCCCCCAAGGGAAATGGTGCTGCGGCACGGTCCCCCCACCCCCAAAGACAAGGGACCCTAGGTGTTTCCTTGCCGCCTGGAGGTGAGCCAGACACGGAAACAGGAGAGCGGGCCGCGGCTGGGGAGATGGGGTAACAGTCCGCACAGGCTCTGGCAATCCTCAAAAAAAACAAACAACACACAAAAAAAACAACCCTACGACAACTCTCAGAACTAGCAAATAAGGCCCCAAAGCCATTTCCAACCATCCCCCACTCATGTTTTTCTCCAGACAAGTGGTCCAAGGCCATGCTTCCACTATATCTCTTCCTTAATAGTCCGAGCCTCTGGATCAGCAGGGTTCAGGCTGGAGCAGACCCCCATCTGTGGCAGCCCCGATCATTCCGGAGCTGTGGACCTCCCATGTCCTTCCACACTGTCCACATCATCTTCATCCTCATCAGTCTCTCTGGCTGTTTTAAGTGCAGTGGCTGTGACCTTGCGCTCTTTCTTCTGAGTGATGTGAGAGCCATCTCCCTCAGAGCAGCCCGTCGGCCCCTCTGGAAAGTGTGGAACATGGTCCTGCAGTTGCTGGCTCACCTGGGGCACGCAGACTCCCGTCTTCCGCGCGTCAAAACTCGCTTGGTCCCAGCTCTCCAGGGAGAATCTTCCACCTCATTCTACAGCTCTAAGCCACAAGTCAGCATTTGCGCGTTAAGTACACTCGCGCTCCACTGCGCCAACGCCAGCCACTTGGCCTTAGCCTCCTGGCTTGTGCACACCCCGAACATTCTCGCCCAGCGATCTGCAAGGCCGGCCAGGCCTCCAGGGCCGCGCAGACCCCCAGCCCGGAAAAGAGCCGCGCATCTTCTGCAGCGCCCCGCATTATCACGGCCCCGGTCCCCCCTGGAATTTTTACCATGTAATTGTTTTTTACAAAGTTTTTAGGCCTGTCCCGCCCAGGCCCGCATGATCTGGGGAAGGCCCGCGAGCAGACAGAATCGCTTGAGGTCAGAGTTCGAAGACCAGTCTGCGGCCAACATGGCAACAAAACCTGATCTCCCAACAAAAAATACACAAAATTAGCCGGGCGCCATTGGTGGCGCATGCCTGGTATCCCAGCTAGATGTTGGGGAGGCTGAAGCAGGAGGACGCTTGACCTCAGGACAGTGAGGCTAGCAGTGCAGCCAAGATCCGCTCCCCTGCACTCCAGACTGGGTTGGACAAGAGTGAGAACTCTTCTCAAATTAAATTAAAAAAAAAATTTGTCTAGGCTTTTGTGAAATACCACAAGGGAGCCTACAGAAAAAAAAGTTGTCAGGTTTAAAAATTACGTTACGATCGTTAAGCTGCTCAATGTACCTCCAGTCCCGTGTGCCCTACCTCCTCGCCTTTTCTGTCCCCGTTTTTCTTCCGGCCGGTTTGTTTCCTGTTCGCCCTTAAAATACAGCTCTCTGAACCGTGCAGAACTGCATCACCGACTCTGTCCTTATATCGTTCCTACTTGTCCTTTCTGTTTCTTTTTTTTTTGCCGATGGAGTCCTTACTCTGTCACCCGACTGGAGTGGCAGTGTGGCGATCTCACTTTAATTCACACAGCGGGCGCTGGAGTGCAGTGGTGCGATCTCACTTTAATTCACAAAGCTAGAGTTGTGGGAAATAGCTCAACTGTGGGTTCTAGCACCACATTAAATAGCAACAACCTAGTGGCAATGCTATAAAATAGATGGGTGAATCCATAATAGTAGTGTAGATCGTCTACACATAAAGGTAGTGAATCTGATACACTGCCACATACCTTCCATGGGAAATTTCAACTCAAGCTGTCTTCACATACAACTCATTGTCTGAGTGGTGATGACTCACAACCAAATCATAACCAATAACCATTATGAACAAGTATTTACTGAGTCCCAGTGTTTACTGAGTTCCATTCGTAATAATTAGAGATATGCCTGCCATCATCATCATCCTCTCTTACATTTATATGTAACCTCCGAATTTTCAAAGTGTTTTCATGGGCTTTAGTTTATCGGTTTGTCACAGCAATGTTGTGAGACAGGAAGGGTAGGAATAATTGTACTCATTTCGTAATTGAGAGACCTGAAGAAATAGATCATCTTTTCCAGGATTACATAGCTAGTTAATGATGAATGTGGGAGAAAATGTCCTATCATCAATCTCTCAGTTTAGTGTTCTTTCTACCATAAATATATTGTGTCTTCAGAGCCCCTCACTACTTAGCCTCTGTGACAGGGAGTTCAAATAGGATAACTGAAAGTGTGAATTTCAGAAGAAAATCTACAATGATTCACTAAAGAGCAGTCCCAAACAATGTGGCAAGTAATAGAATTTGATTGGAAAGCCTCTGCCAGCTGCAGAGCCACAGATAAACCTGGAACCCGGAAGACAATTGGTATTGGAGATTGGCTTAGGTTACTGACCAAAAGATGCGCTTCACACATACTCCAAGTGCAAAGGACTTTTGATTTCAGGGGCACTGTTATTTTGGCGATTATTGATTTGGTTTAAATTGTTTTAGTGTCT